TGTAATACATCTTCAATCGCATCTTCTGAACACATAACTTTGATCCTGTAGCTGAAGATTTTGTCTCTTCAAATTTCTTTTATACCTGAGAGGAAAGAAGTACTTTTCTTATGGACATTCCATTTCACGCTACCGTCTGGTCTTCTTATCAGCAGGACGTCTAAAATGTCAATTTTTCTTTAAGATTCTTCTTCACAAGTGATTTCGATAGGTTGAGGATGTTCTTCATTGAACTGAGATATCACCGCGTTCCTGGCCGAATCATTTTCACAAAGAATGAAAGTATCATCGATATGTGGGCAGTAAAATGAGAATTTGCTGTTAAGGTTGTTCGAAGGACCACTTTCTAGTTTACTCAGAAAGTAATTTGCTAACATAGGACGCAGTGGAAGAGCCCATCGTCACTCCATCCACCTGTCGGTAGAGTTCATCTTCAAAATTTAAAGTTCACACTCATAGTACACTTTAGTAACAACTTTTTTAAGAATTTCTACTAGGATCGCAAAAATATTTGTTGACTTTTCTTGATTCAAGACAAGCAAGTGTACATTATTTTCCAGGCGGATCTGGGGTCTTTTGCACGCCAGCTTGTAGGTGCAGACTGTTAAACACTCGAACTAAATTAAATATATGCAATGCTTCCTCGTATCCAATGGTTTTCCATCGTTACATTAATCCTTGGTGAAAAATACTCATTGAAAATCAGAAAAATTGGGTTAGATGAACTGTAGGAAGAATGGTTACAGAGTAGTGTGGTGAGGGCTGTCTGCTAGTCAAAATTGGTAGACAGCAATTCACGTCAATGTTTACGTCCCAAATTTGGGTCATGAGAAAAAACAAGAACAAAGACTAACCCTGAGGAACTCAATAACCAATCACAATAGACTTAGCGTGGGCGGATACGATTCGCAGAAATATATGATCTGACTTTCAAAGAAACGGTCATAAAGAGGTGACAGAGTAACCTTCAGTAGGAAAACAACCAATCAGAAGACGTTTCTCTGCTAACAATAACGCTAATAATAATGTACATAAAAATCTATAAATATCTCTTGATTTTCTCAATAAACGATCTGTTTCTTGGCTTTTATATTGATTTATGTTACTTCAATTTCCACCCCTATTTCTATTTTTAAAAAGAACACGAAAAAGATCAAGCGTCAGCCAAAGTGTAGATTTGTTAATCTCTTTCTATGCTTAACTCAAGTCCCGTGATGATAATAAATGCAATATATGCATATATAGCTACTCATTGCTGCCACTAAGCAAACGAATACGTGAATATATATGGATAATTTATTCAAACAAATTAATTAAAAATATTTTGTGCATATATTTAAATATTTTTGAAGCTCGTATACTCAACAGTCATCTAAATATTTTGTTAAAAAGAATTTATTTTTAATAATCGATCATGTGATCGGATTAAGATCAACACAGAATGGAAACTTAGGAAAATATTTTTTGCTGGTAAAGTGGTAGGATTCAAACAGGGGAAGGGAGAGAGAGAGACAAAGATGCGAAAGGATACGGGTGGTTTTATATGCTTTTTAAAAGAAATTTTACATTAAAAATACTTTCGTGGCTTGATTTCTAAGGATCTGATGTGTTTTTCGAGTTTGACCACAGATGGATTGATATCAGTTAAGGAACAATTGAAAACCACCAGCTGAGAGTACTGGCAGAGTTGTTTACCTCCTCCTAGTTTGGGAGTCATCATTAGTACGTACCCACCGCTAAGGTTCGAACCCATGACCTTCCGGTTACAAGGCAAGCTAACTCGTATACCATTCAGCCATCACTGGGACCCCAAATCATCAATGGCCAGCCAACCCATGAATTCTAACTTCTACCAATTCGTGATGAGTTCAGCGCGATCGCCAACCACTGTTATCGGTGGTAAATCCATCCTCACAGTCGACTGGATGGATCTCACTGTTCAGGATTTCTCACTGAAACTCCAGGACACTCCGTCTTGTAGCAAGTCAGTAGAGAGCATCAGATTTATTTTCAGGAGTTGATTTTTTTTTTCGTGTCTGACCACGGATTGATTGATATCAGCTAGAGAAGCATTGAAAGCCATTGAAGAAGTCTTTCTTCTGATCAAATTTTCTGTGGCCTTAAATTCTTGAACCGTATTACAACATTTTCTGCACTTTGTATCATAAAATGTCGCCTGGTGCTGATGATATCTGAGCATTGTATAATCGATTAAACGAGGTAGTAAGTTCAAAAGTTAAACGTGTATCTTAAGATTTTCGTGATATTATTATGCTAATCTATTATGGATTATTTACTCAAAGGTGACAAAATATATCCCCCCTCGGATAAAACAGATGGCGCCACTTCACAAAAAACGTCATATACCAAATAATTCTACCCCGCACCCCACCACTCCTACTGCATATCCATTTAACATCACACTGAGAAGCATGGATTATCACTGAGAGAGTAGAAAATACCTTAAATATGTACAACACGGCATAGATATATAGGATGCAATAACGGGTGATATTATGTTGAAGTATTAACGAGTAGTTTTTAACGGCTTATAGACAAAACAATATCCTTATGAGCACTAGTCAGCAATCTTAAGGGAAGTGATATTCCTTCTGAGTTTCAAACATATATATATATATATATATCATTTAGTGTTGCAGGCAGATACGTTATCTACCGGGTGTATTCCAGCCAGACCGAAGTTATCTAAAAACCGCACCGTCTTTGAATCGACCTTATTACCGATGCACAGCGGTAAACTTCGATCAAAGCATCAAATCAGCAGAGATAGGTTCATAAAACCGGATATCTCCTTAAACACCCTCGTTGAAATGTTCCTTTTTTCCTCTACATTCTCAGTGGAACATAGGGCTTCAAGCTAGAGTGGCCTTTAGCCGACCAATCATGAAAATGGTGAATTTTTGCACAAAAAATGACGTATATTTACAAGAAAATGCATGAAAACATAACAAACAGGGTATCTATCTCTGACATGACTTAAAAATACGTCCCAGTTATAATGAGGAATCTCAGTTGCTAAGTTAGACTAATTCCTGTAGATGTATTCACCGAGGTGACTGAAGACGAGCTGATTTTGTGAATCCTTTATCTCTCTCATCTTGTTGTGCTGTCTTCGCCAAAAGCTCTCGGTTGAATTATTATAGTTTCCAGTAAGAGGATCGACAACTACTTACTAGGAAAATGTGAATAAGAAAACCAATTCAAATAAATGACATCAACTTTAAATCTATCCCTAATCGTAACCCTTACTTTAAACTTAACACTAACTCTAATTACAACCCTTATCATAAGCGTAAGCCTAAACCTAATGCTAATTATGACCCTGATCCTAAGCCTAATCCCAATACTTACCTCAACCCTAATCCTAACCCTAACGAGTTACTAACACATTGTCCAAATAGTACTTAAAAACATGATCTGGGTGAAATTTGCATCTTAGTTGGTGAATAGCGTTGATATTTCAGCTATGACAGTGACAGGTGGCGTTAGCCAACGACTAGCATGCGTTGAAGGTCACTGGAGAGTTCCCACTCGTGGGAGGTTATTGTTGAACTTAGCCTTCATGGGAATCTATAGCCAATAACTGGTGATTAGGTAATGTGAACATCATTTCGTTACTTGAGAGTGATCCAGACTAGAAGTTGGTCATATATTTGTAAGTTACATCCATGATTTATGATATCTTCTGTAAGATTTTTCAATTTATTCTTTACCAGGCAATAATTCATTATGATGGGTGATAAATAAAAGTGTTTCAGGATAAAAGTTATGCAATAATATATATATATATAATTAAAACAATTAGTCCCTTTGGTAAATTTGAATAAGGCATTGAGAAGACAAATTTCGCGAGATGATATCATTTCGTAGTTTCTTTACAACCGCTTTACAACTAACATGGTTAACAATAATAAAATAAAGATCATGACAATTACTCAGTTAAATAAAAAAAAGTACATACTAATGACCAATCATATTTAGATAGGTCATGTAGTCCATGGTAGGCGAAGATTGAAGTCCATTGTTTTTTTGTACACACAGTTTAGGCTGTATGTGATTAATCCCCAAAGTGCTTCCATCACCTTCAATACCCTTGAATTAGAGTTATATGAAATAATTGTGAAACAGTCATTAATTAATATTGATTTTGTGACCTGACATTAATAAGTGTTTTGCAATGGATGATGATGATGATGGATTTCTATTCAGATTAATCGCATTGGGAACTTGTAGATATAGTTTGAAGTAGGGTCCACAGAATGTCGCCTTATCATCGTAGGTGCAGAGATCGAAAATGTTTGGCAAGTGAGAAAAAGAGATGCGGAGTAGAATGTACGTTTGATGGCTGACCAAAGTCTTTGAGCTGTCTTTGAACTGCATAATCTGGTCGTCTTGAATGGTAGGTTAATAAAGATAGCTTTCTTTGGTACAGAAGCTGTCTTTTCGAGATGTGGTCTATCTTTACTGTGACAAGTGATAAAGTTTTCTGATAACCATTAGCTAATAAAACTGAATGTATATGTCGAAGCTCATCCATCAATGTGTCACTCGTACATATTTTTCGAGCCCTTGAGAACAAACATTTCACCAGGGAACGTTTATACTGGACAGGAACAAAACTGATAAAATGAAGATATTGTCCACTCCATGTCTGTTTACGAAAAATAGAGCGCTGAATCATTCCATCATTTCTCCTGGTCATAGTAATATCCAGGAAACCGAGTTTGTTATTCGATTCGAGTTTTGAAGTCACTCGGATATTTGGATGAATATGATTAAATAGAGTAATAAAGTTTTCAATAGATTTACTATTACTACCAATAATGAGAGTATCACATACATAACGTTTATACAGCATAAATTCTCCAAGCATACCTTGCATCTGTCTCTCCAATTTCAACATGAATATATCTGCTAATATTGGTTTTAAATTGTGTCGTTCCCTTAATATTATTACCATTATTATTATTATATTTAAGACGGCAACCGTTTACAAGCCATCTGGATCTTCGAATACATCTACTCCTGATTCAATAAACAATATAACAATTATAAATTATGAACGAGTAGTAGGAACTACACCACAAACAAATATTCTAGGTATGATATATACTTTTTGTGTTACCTTACCTATCTATTCCTGAAATAATAATGCTTTGTAGGTTTTGTCATCATGATTATTATTATTATTATTCCTTTGAGTCCCGACCGATAGCTACTACCTTGCGCATTGCGATGACCCAACAAGCTACACTGGCTGGAACCAGTATTCCTGCAGTCCTACCATGCCAGGAAGGTTGTTAGGATAGCGATTAGACTAAAAGCAGTTACCGGCATTGTGTAAAAATCTTCCTTACACTATGCTGTTGGGGTCTGAGGGTGAAGTCGTACTGCTGGGGGACAAGAGTGTAACAGCCACAGTGAAGTGTTTCCCTCAGATGACCAGCATGCTAGCCAGCTATGCTGTCTCTCCACTCCGGAGAGAGGGGGTTAGAAAAGGTCGACCCAAAAATTGTACATCCCGACCTACCCCACCTACGGTGGTCCCTAACCGGCGGTAAGTTTACTAATAAGAAACCAGTTCATACAGGCCGTGTGTGACCGGCTGGCCTCAAGCAGTTGTCCCCTAGGCTCTGCGGTCACGGAACACACTAACCCTCTTTCTGTTTCAGGTACCTGAAGAATCAATCTACTTCCACCACGGTGGAGACAGCTGGGAAGTAACAACCGGCCCACACAATTCCAAAAGCACATGAAGCCTTCCTGAACATTATTCCTTTGAGTTCCTAGTGGAACGTAGAGTCTCAGCATCACATTTCTATGTTGTAATGTTCTCAGTAGTCCTCTTTAGCTGACCCCACGATGTCACCAAACGGTCTCCTCAGTGGTGTGTGCTCGATCCACCTTCATTTTCTTCGGGATATTTGTTGAGCAATAGACTGTTGATTGATTTGTTCCCAGAGTTTTTTTTTGTTATAGATATTAACAGTCTGTTAACAAAATATTCTAGACTGATTTGGCTGGATGGTGAATACTCCTCCGTAAAAATGAATCGTTTATTTTTACGAGTTTGATCATGGATTGATTCATATCAGTTAGAGAATCATTGAAAGCCACTAGCTGGGGGTACTGGACAGAGGTGTTTACCCCCTCCTAGTTTGGGAATCATTGACAGTACGCACCCACTTCCAGGGTTCAAACCCAGCACCTGATGCTCGCTAGCGACTTGTCACAGGACAGAGTTTCCTGGAGTTTTAGTGAGAAGTTTTGACCAGTGAGGTCCATCCAATCAAGTTTGGGGATGGATGTTCCACTGATGACATTGATTGGTGGTCGTGCTAAACTCATCACGAATTAGTAGAAGTTAGAATTCTTGGGCTGACTGGCCATTGAGGAGTTGGGGTCCAGTGATGGTTGAATGGTATATGAGTTAGCTTGCCTTGTAACTGGAAGGTCCTGGGTTCGAACCTCGATGGTGGATATATACTACTGATGAGTCCCAAACTAGGAGGGGTTAAACAGCTCTTCAGTACTCCTTGATGGTTGGTTTTTCAATGGCTCTCTAACTGTTATCAATCAATCCATGGTCAAACTCTTAAAAACAAATCTAATCCTTACAAGCCAAATCTTGAAAATGAATCCTGTATGTGAATCGGTCACTGCATGATAACTTCGAGAGTCATTAGAGTTGATTGACGTTCACGAATTAATTGTATGAAGTAACGGTTCAGCTAACTTAAGTGCAGTTTTTAGTCCAACCTCTTCAAGAAGTAGTGAGGATTCATTTTCAGAGAGACGAATAAGCAAAGGGTAGTTGAATTTCATGGTCATGAATTTGTCTTTTTTTCAATGTCCCGCCAATAAATATGAAACCTAATTTGAATTCAATATTAAAATACACTGTACCACAGTTTGTCTAAAAGCTTCGGTTAACAAGCTGAAATTGACGGTTACACCAGTTACCATCCAATTATTATTATTATTTATTATTGTTCCGTTGGGTTCCTAGTGGAACATAGGGCTTCAACTGCACGTCTCCACTTGCTTCTGTCTTCTGCTGTACTTTTCATCTCCATCCATGTTAGTTAGTCCATACTCTTTCAACTCCTCTTCACACAACCTCCTCCATGTCACCCTTGCACTGACGACCCACTCGCCGCTTCCCTTTCGGGTTCCACTCCTCGAGTGAGCCTGACGCGCGCGGGATGTCACCCAGCGGCCTGTCTGTCTGTCTGGATTCAACATAGAACTTGGCACTGAAGTGCAGCAGTTCGAGTTGCCACGTTCCAAATAGCACACAAAGGTAGACAAGAAGATGAGTGAAGAGAATCAATAGAGTTTGACATGTATAAGAGTGAAACAGAATGGGTAATGGTAGAAAGGAATATGAAAGATTACAGAGACTGAATACATCTGCGCCAGTGACGACGATTTTGAGCCATGTCACTTATTGTCTCCAGCCATTGATTCCTAGAGTCCCGAGGCCCCCAACCCGGGAGTCTGCATCTCCCTACCTGACTCAGTTTAACTGTCAAGGATTTCGTGGATTGATGAGGCCATGTTTTTGTTTGGCCACCACTTACTCTTTTCCAACCTTCACCTATATCAGCTGGCAATGCCCGTCGGGGGAGGCGGTGGTTAGGCATGCGCAGCACGTGACCTAGCCATCTCAATCTATGTAACTTTATAGCCTCGTCGATTGATTTTCCCTCTTTGCCCACACTCTACGCCTAACGTCAACATTACTTACCTTATTATACCACCTAACGTGAGACAGAGATCGCAGACATCTATGATCGAAAGCAGTCAACCTTTTCATGTCTTCAACTCGTATTGGCCATGTTTCAGAGCCATAGAGAAGGACGGAGCGAACTGCTGAGCAGTACACACGTCCCTTGGTTGATAACCGGATGTCACGCCTACGCCAGAGATGGTGTAAGTCAGCGAAAGCAGCTCGAGCTTTTTGGATCCGTGCTGAGATTTCATCGCCGACCAGCGGCCTCCTCAGCCGCGAGTGTCCAGTCCATCCCAATCCACTTTCTCCTGCATATTTGTTGGTTGGCGATTGGTTTGTTCTTGTTTTGTTTCTTCCCAGCCAGAGTTTCTTGTTGGTGATTCTTTCCGACCCGGCCATCTGATCTGATCTTCAGTATAGAGCCAGCGAAGACAGTTGTTGTTGATGAAGGTCTGGTCCGCAGCAGGCTGCTGGTGGGAATATTCTTTGTGACCCGCCCGCCAAGTTTCTAATCCGTATTGAAGAACTGACTGACCTGACGTTTGTATTGTATTGAAAATCCGACTGGATTTTTTTGTTGATGCTGGCTGAGTGACGAAGATTTCCAGATTGGTTTCAGGTTGATGAATGTGTTTCTCTCTCGCCTTCTCGATTCTCGCTCGATTTGACATTCTCGTCCGTTCCTCCTGTAGTGGAGACAATGCTCCCTAGATAAGTGAATAAAGTAACCTCTTTCAAATCCCTCCGGTTGATGATGATTGGCGCCGGATGTTGCTGCTGTTGTTGTTATTGTTTTTGGTTGGTTGTTTTCATAACCTCCGTCTTATCTATGTTAACCTGGAGTCCTGTCTTCGCCTGCTGCTTCTTATACCAGTTTGTCGGCTTTCGCTTGTAAGTCTTCGATTTTGTGTGACATCAAACATAAATCACCCACGCGCGAAATCCAGGTCTTCTAGGTTCTTCACGTCGGTCCAGGATATCCCTGTCTTCTCTTTTCCCACTGTCTGATGCATAATCCAGTCCACCACAATTAGGAATATCATCGTGGGTGATAATAAGCACCCTTGTCTGACTCCTGTGTTTACTCTTAATGCCTCGCTGAGTTTTCCTTTGTGGACCACTTGACATGTGCCGTTGTCGTACAGCTGTTGAATAAGGTTGATGAATATTTGGGACACTGTACGCCGTAGTACTCGAGTAGTTTCCAAATTACGTCGCGGTCAGCGCTGTCGAAGGCCTTCTCAAAGTCTATAAAGTTGAGGTGGAGGTTTGATTGCCATTCCATGCTTTGTTGGATGATGATACTAAGAGTTGCAATTTGGTCAGAACATGAATTGCCTTTCCTGAATCCATCCAGTTGAATTGCCTCATGTGTACTTTGATTGAACACTAGTCTGTGACTAGTCCTTGATGTTTGGTGTATACTGAATTCTATCAATCAAGTTTGCAATATGATTGCCACCATGCTACTGGGTGGCTCGCCATTCCCGGTGCACTTTGAATTGTTGGCATTACATGGTTGAAGGCATTCGACAGGAAGTCCAACACTTCCTGTGGTCGATTCTCTGCAGCCATCTTATGTCTTATTTGTGTTAGATTGTTATTACCACTGTTTGAAAACAGAACAATATTGTTTTCATTTATATCTCCACGCTTCACTCTAATTCACATAGATTTAGCTACATAAGAACTTTAACCAATCACAGTGAGTTTGGGCATAAAATTATAATAGTAATAACAATAGTAAGTGTTAAATGTTCCGAACACCAATAATAATGATAATTATAATGAGATGGCAAAAATACTCATAATAAGGTCAATGTTAATAAAAGTAGAAAGAATTTTATGTGGGTGGCGAAAAGAATAACGATGGCAGTAATATGTGTATATGCAGACAATTCAATAATTTAAAACAGTTAGTTCCCTTTATGAATTTAGACAAAGCAATAAGAAGACGTAATTTGTCTGAATCGTGTGTGTAATGTATTTGTGCAACACATTTCGGACAATCTGATCACACACACACACAGACTTGTGATAGAAATGAATATATATGAAATTAATAAAGAGTTAAGAGGTGAGAAAATAGACTTAGGTCAAGTTAAAAGGATATATTGAAGGTCAAAATAACAATGAAGATCACTAGACCAAATAGCAGAGGTAATAGTACATCTACCCTGGCTAGTATCAAAACAAAGTTTGCCAAATAAGGTTTAGTGTGATGACGAATTGTTGCTTTGATCGCATAAAGGTGGTTTAAACTTTCTAATCGCCAGCTAGGGCTTCCACAAACTTAAAGAAACGCCTTCCCCCAAACACGTTTTATAGTTAGGTTTAAAAGATGTGCGAACATCAATTTTACGTC